TTTCCTTCCATTGCTAGGCCATGGGAAGTGTGACTGTGGGAAGTGCAAATGTGATGAAGGCTGGTATGGTGAAGCTTGTCAGTATCCAACTACTTGCAATCTTACACGGAAGAAAAGCAACGAAATGTGCAAGAATTCTCAAGATATCATCTGTTCTGGTGCAGGTAAGATGTCTTTCGTTGCTTTTGGTGGCTTGATGTTCTCCCTGTGTTATCCTGAGAATCACTGTAATTTCTTTTCTAATAAGGAATTTTGTAGAATGTGTTTCAAAAGACTGAGAAATAACTGTATGTATACTAAAATGCTTAATTTTCCTATAGGCCTATTCCTGTGCCTATGATGTTCACTGATTCAGAATGCCTACTTTAATACTCTAGTTTATCCATAGCTATTTTAGGTTGATGAAACTGCAGCTGTGTCATGTATTTTGCCCATCAAAAGCTTATGGTAATTGCATTAACACAGAAAGTGACGTATTTTTTTTTGTGTTTGTGTTTATAGCATCCAGAAATGGCATTTGCAAATATTTTTCCAGGACATTTATAAGCTGTACAATTTTTTGAGACACTTTTGAGCTGTAACAATGATTGTTAAAAACGGTCGTGGAACATCTGCTGAATCATTTTAATGGAGTACTTCCATCTTCACTTTTCTGATTTGGTAACTCTTTTCTCTTAAGTCTTTAATTTTATAACTCATCCTAACTTAAATAGGAAGTACTTTCCTTAAAAAAATCAGAGGAAAAAGAAACAGCCTTTTAGAAGACTTCACTGCAGAATGGTAAAATTTTGAAGGGCATTTGCTACCAGTCAAGTTTTGAGCCCAGAAACTGCCTTCCAGTTTTTCTATTACATTGATCTCCGAGTGAGAGAATGTTTCAAGAGCCCCACTTCTGCTCACTGTTGCTGGCCTTTAATTTCTGTCTGGGCCCATACATTTTCATACAACTAAATTTCTCACAGGGTAGTTTCTGACAAACCCAAAGGATTTGTGGGACTTGGTACAGAGAAGCTAGGCTCTCACAACAAGATGTGAAACCAAGTTGATGTAAAATTTTAAGCATACAGCGTACTGAGTAAATGATACATTTAATTTGCAACAATAATGTAGATTATATGAAACTCATGATTGTTTGGCTAACAAATGAGAGACACCTAAATGAGAAACTGACTCTCAAAAATAAGCATAGTTCATTGTGATCAGTCAAAGTACTTTTAAACAAGAATGTTAAGACTTTTTTTTCTCTTTCTTTTCTTGACTAGAAGTGTCCCCAGTCTGACTATCACTGAGTCTTCACAGGAAAACCAATGTAGCTGAACAACTGTTAAAAGTGGCTAAGAGGGGAGCGTTTGTGAGATCAGGAGAATAAATGCTTTTGATTTTGCTGGTATTAAACAGGACAGGAATTCCAATGAGACTGGATAGGGAGTTTGGGGTATCTTTGATGGGCTGTAGCCATACATGTTTTGTCTTGATGGGATTGCCTTTTGATCTACTGCCACCATTGCCTTTGGGGTCTGAGCTCTGGTTTTTAATTGCCCATAAAAGATGGAAAGGGATGACATGAGTTGTTGCAAAAACAGACCTCTGCTGTCACACAGCTAACCATTTATTGCAATTCTTTTCATGAACAAATCAAGATCCACCTAGAATTTAATTTTTCTGACTCAACTGTTCCTAATCATTTGTCAGAGCAACTAGGGTATCCTACCTAAACCAAGATTCTCTATGTGAACATTTTCCAATTCTAGTCAATGGGAAGGAATGAACACTTTTAGGACACAGTCTGTCTGACCTCTTTAGATGCCCAATTTATGAATCCATTTACCATTTTATCTTTTTTCCTGTTTTCCTGTAAACAAGACAGTTTTCTAAAAATTTTTACTTGTGTTCATTTTCCAAGTAATTGTAGCAAATAATTCTAGTTCTGTGGGTTACTTATGTTGTATTATCAGTTGTATTATTATTATTTTATTATATTAGCTCTTGCAAATATTTTTGAAGTTTTCTTTTTTAGACTGGCCATGTGTGTCACAGAGCCCCATTCTTCTGTTCTTTGTTTGGATTAATATGATGTTTAGTAAAACTTGTACTATACTTGTAATGGTGAAATGTAAAATGCTTTCTGCAAACTAGTTGTGTAATAGCAGCATAAAACTTCTATTTTGGAAGACTCCTTTTGTGTCAATAATCATGTTTTCTAAAGTATGTATGGACGTAACGTGAGGTGTATGAGTCTTGTGAATGAAGTTCCTTTTTTTTTAGATCTGTACTTGCTGGCATAGTGATGCCACTGATGGCTGAAACAGCTTGTGCAAGCCCATTTACCACAGGGCCCCAGTTAACATGGTATTACACAAAGTTCCTACCCTTACAATTTTAGTATAGGTGATGGAGGTAGGGAAAAGGGGTGTCTTACATGACCAGCATGGTAATACTTTGTTTCTAACGTGATTTTATAGTATTTTCGCTTTTTTGACTGTGTAACTCCTTAATATGTTTATTTATAGCTGTTATATGTTATCATGCATTATGTTCCAAACTAGACAATATTCAGGAGGAGGATGAGAAAGCAGTTGTTTGCTTTGCCCCAGCAACTGCACTCCAGGTCAGATAGACTCTCTGAGGGAAAAGGGGGGGATTCTTCCTTCCCTGGCAGCAACAAAACAAACTTTTTCTGTTTGAGAGGGTGGATCGTGGAGAGGGGCAGCCACTGAGGTGAGGGGGCAACCCTACTCAAAAGACCAAGAAGCAAATGTGCGACCAGACTAGAGGTGATAGAAGAGAGATCTGTTTACAAACCCGTTTCCATCCTTTGCATCGCCTGAGTGCACTGGCTTTTCCTTATGTCAGAAAGTTTTTTGTTGTGATTTATGTTGTGAGAAAAAAACAGCTGTATGCTTCCAAAGCATTTGGGAGTCCTGGGGGTACTTACGTTGGGGGTAGATCTCAGGTAGACCCATGTTCTCAAACCATTCACTGGTCTGAGATGGGTAAAACCCATCTTACTTGTGGCAAATCAGCAAGCATCTTTATTATAACTTTTAACATTCTTGCAAGCTCTACTCTTTTCCGAGACATCACACACAAACTGAAGAAAAATGAGGCCTAAAAGCTTAAAGTTAAGTTGGGTCAAAGTCCTGAAATAACAAGTTATTATTATAGAGGTTCCTGCAGTTCTTCAAATGAATGAAATAAATTGTAACATGGACATCAATACCACTGGAAAAACATGCACTTTGCAGTAAAATTGTTGATATGCTATTATAATACTTATGGTTTGTTTAATAATGCTATGAATGTATTTCTATGCAATTAGCTTGTCTGTTGTATAATTAATGTATTGCTGTGGTAATTGCTTCCTAGCTTGAGTCCTTTTTTCCTGACATCTGATCATAAGGTCTTCGTGCAGATGTTCCTCACCAATGCTTCCTTCCTTTGATTCCTGGCTTTTTCTCCAAGGCTATACTTATAAAATCTTAATCTTCAGATGACAGCTGTAGAAAAGGGACTAGAGACCAGAGTGCAAAGGAACTTTGTGAACTTAGGCAGACATATTTTCAGGTCTTCAGTATCCATGCCCTGTTACCCTCATGTAACATGGCTGTGGAACTGAACAAAACCAGGCTTCGTTCTTGAGAAGATGACTAAGTTAAATTTTCTCCTTTCAGTAAGCAAAAGATATAATTTCCAAAGCTGACTTCATACCTCAGTTGTATGAAGTCAGACAGACAACTCTAGGAGTGAATTTTACTTAGGAAAATATGGTGCTCTTTATTAAAAATGAACCACTTGAATGTTGTACCTGTTTACAGCTAAGATTAGGCTTTTTGTTGATATGGATTGTTTCTGCGTCTGTCTTTATTTGGCTGGATGATCTTTAGATTTCAACCTTCTCAGAAATAAAATATGCACCATCTCTGATGGACTAATGAAGCTCTTTCCATAAACTGCAGTCACTGAGTACTGTCTTAAATGTTTACAGGCACATGTCAGTGTGGCAGGTGTAAATGTGCAGACTCAGAAGGAAATGGACTGGTCTATGGTAAATTTTGTGAATGTGATGACAGAGAATGCATAGATGATGAGACAGAAGAGATTTGTACAGGTATGTATTTTAGTGAGTACAAGAAGAACGGTGAAGATTAATACAGGCTGTTATAAAATAATTTAATTGTGTGGACCTACAAAATGTCTTTACTGAATGTACGACAAAATAAAAGTAACTATATTTGCAAAAATTTAGATTGCAAATTGTAAGTGGGAATTTCAGATGCAAAAATGAGCTAAGCAGGAGGTCAAAGAAAGAAAAAAATCCTGTGACATCCTCCTCTTTTTGAAAGAACTGCAAAGAGGATTATACAAGGTAATTCACTAAGGTAATTCATAGCTTAGTGTGTCTGTCTTCAGTAGAATATTAGAAATGTGAATGCTTTGTGGCACAGATGAGAGCAAGATGGAGGACATAGGAAAAAAACAGAAGAAAAAAGAAAAATAGACTTAAGAATTTTGTCAAGGAAGTAAAAATTAAAAAGAACAGGAATAAATGTAGGATGAGAACTGAGAAGCAATTCGGGAGACAAAAAGGGGAAGAAATGAATGAAGAAAAATTTCATCTGTGATAGGAAAGGCAAGAGTGAACAAGGCAAGAGAGATGGGAGTGAACTCTGCTGATAGACAGAAAAGCAACCAATCATTTCATTATAACATAGGAACCTGGCAATTAAATATTGTGCAATACATGCCGTTTATGGCATTATAAGTGCTGTTGCCTATATTACTAGGGAGGCTTGTCCTTGCACTGGAAGGTGCTACAAATATTTTTCAAGCTATACACATGCATACTGTGTGTGTATGCATAGAGGAAGGTTCAGAACTGTTCTTAGACTACTCATACTCTGATAATAGCGCTTGCTCTGCGTCTGTGCATAAAGAGAGAGAGTACTTGTGTAAAATAGCTTTATCTGTCTTTATCCTTACACAGAGTGCAAAATAAATGTTATTTATTTAAGTGCCTTTGAAGGCAAAAAGAACTTTTTTTTTTGAACAGGATTAAGTAGGTCTTTTAAATGAGGGTAAACAGAATGGTCCTCTGAAGTCCAAATCCAGGACTAGAGTACCATATTACTAGTAATTGCCTAAAATAAAATGAGTGGAGGGCAATAATTTTTGTGTGCCAGTGATTCAATTTATATTTATTGGCTTGTAATCTTTACATATGGTACCAAATATGACAAAAATTTACCATTTATTTAGTTCCAGTAAATTCTCCTTCTGCTGTTTGTGTCAGGTTTTTTTCCCCACCTGTGTTGCTGCTGGTTTGTATTGCTAGGTTTTTCTTAGCTTTTATTTCCCCTTTCCAATGGTGCCATATTCCAAAACAGACCAGGTGCACCTCTGTAAAAAACTAGTTTTATGTGTATGCAGAAATCAAAGTACGCTGATATAAAAGGACAAAAAAATGTTGGTAGATTCAAGTCTGTAAGGTCTGTGATTCATCAGTATAAAAGCCCTGATACCTTATGTAAGGTTTGGAGCCTTCTAAAGTAAATATAAGTATAAACTAACAGTGCACTTGACTTGGTTAGGTTGTTGTAAGCTGAAAAGTTTATGCACGTAGGTTATGAGTGTTAGACTTTGCTTTACTTTCTAACAAACCTCTACAGTACATAACCATATGTTGAACCAGGCTTTATGCAGAAAAAATGGACAGCATGTGAACTGAAGGTCAAAGGTACATAATTTCATCACAGAAAAAGCAGACCCCACATGCCTATCTGGTTATTGCTTTTCTCTTCCATCCTGATGTCTCCTTTAATACCCTCTATATGGTCTTTCCTTCCACAGGATTTCCACCACAGGAATCATTTAGGTTTATTTATGAAGTAATAAAGAAACAGCATTCCAACCCAGTTCTGCTTAGCTAGCAATGGCCCCTGGATACTCTCCACAGACAGGGTGAACCTAATCAGTGCCTGTGATTCTTTCACAGTTTGTGTAGCACCTATTTAGTTGCTACATACCCTTTATTACCCTTGAAGGTATAGACAGGTCTTGAAGATTTTAGTTGTCTTCAAAGAAAGCCAACTCAGGAGGATCAAACTAATGAAAAAACAAAAGCTTCTGTTTACAAACATGTTTCTAAAGCCTGCAGCCGTGAGCTGGGATTTTATCCTGGGAAAGCACACAATGCCATGCTGAGATATGGATCACATGCATTTTAATCTTTGCACAAATGGACTGCATTTTTTAAGCACATCAGTTCTTAGGTAGGGCAGAGTTACAAAGATACATCAAGCTTTTCCAGCCTCAGTTGGATTTTGATCAGTCAGTTGACTGTATCACTTTTTATTTAAGGTTACATAAACTTTGGAATCAAGTTGCAGCTTATTTTTAATAAAGTATCACGGTGTCTAGCAAATGAAATTCTGATCCTGGTCTTTTTTATCTAAGGCTTTTTTGCTCTAATGGTGTGATTTTGTCTTCATTCAAGAGCAAGAGGCAGTGGCAAATTGTATCATTTAATTCATACTTATTTGAGGACTACACAAGTGTGAGTGAAGAATGAAGTAGTGATGTTTTAATCTGCAAAAATTGCCAGTAGATCAAATTAATTTACTCTTGCACCATTTTCCCCTTTATTTCTTGTCCACTGTTCAAGAACAACCTTTTGGTAATAAGCATTATTTTAGACTGTCTTTGTTGTTTAGTTATCTATGTAAGATGATATTTTTATCTTCTGTTATTTTTTGACATGTAACCAAACAATTGTAATGAAAATTTCATGTGTAATTGTAAAAACAGGAAAAAATTGCATTCCACAGGTCTAAATTTGCACTCTTGATAGTTAAGGAACTAAGTTGACCAGACTGTGATAGAGACAACCAGGTCTACTAAGCTTAACATACCTAGAGGGAAAAAAGGACAAGATCCTGACTTGATCCTTCTAGTAAAGAATTAACTTACTTATGGCTTTAAGAGTAGTAGGAGTTGCAGCTACTTAATTTAAATGCTTCGTGTCATTGAAGCACGTGGCAGAAGTACCTTGGTGGATCAAAATGTTCAGGAGCTGGTTTCATCAAGCCTCAGATGACCCAACTGTCTTTTTAAGAGATGTGTGGTTTCTTAAATGAACATCTAAAAGGTTCATTTAACTAATTCTTACCTTTCATGAACTGGTTTATCCATGTACATACATGTACAATGTAGACAGTTTGTAGTAAATCAAGGTCCCTCTGCTGGAATTATCTGAGGAGTCAAGAACACACAATGCTTTTTTAGACATGCCAAGTGTGGTGGGCAAGTGTGTCCTATCTTAACATTTAAAGCTGTGCTTAAATTTTAACTGTTATTATTATTTAACTTACTGTCTTCCAAATTTTCCTATAAAGTTTCAAAGATTAAGCTTACAAATATAAAAATATTGATATTATTAGTGTTTATTGATTATATTTAATCTGTGATTAAATGAAAACATGTTCTGAAGTAGATTTGGGGAAAAGTATAATTCGGATATCCTTTGTCTTGTTTTATGTAAGCATATGCGGTCTGTAAATTGTTTCTATTCTGAGTCTAGTGTTAAAAGTTTTTAAAAGAAAAGATCAAAACAGTTAAATTGTTAATGCCTTTTAAAAACTTGCCTCTTTCTCACTGTATAAAATTTGTTTTGGGTTAAGGCCATGGAAAGTGTTACTGTGGAAACTGTTACTGTGAGGCTGGTTGGCATGGAGATAAATGTGAATTCCAGTGTGACATCACCCCCTGGGAGATCAAGAAAAGATGCACATCTCCAGATGGCAAAATCTGCAGCAACAGAGGTGTGTCGTTCGCACGTTCCTTCTACGCATATTTATATAGCTTGCTTTTATTTTACAATATGCGTTTTCTGCAGTAGGACATAGATTGTGTTTGCTGATAGTTTCTAGTTTGTTCTCACTTATCTCAGATCTGGGTATACGTTTCCAGGTGAGAGGGTAGATACCTGTGTTTAAGTATAAACTTACACAAATCCACACTCATTTTTGGATTAAGAAGACCCAAGTTGTTCTCATCCTTCATTTTTGTAGTAAGACTGAGCAGGATAATTTGTTAGTACATCTGCTTTGGTGAGAGACCTATCCTGCAAAATAAAATATTAGCAGGTTTTTGACTTTGAATGGATTGGTGCTGTAAGGCCAACAGGACTGTATGTCAGTTCACTCTTAAAGATGACCAAGGATCCACGATTGAATAGGGAAAATGAAAACACAAAGCTTTCAGTTTCCACTGCAACCTGAAAAACAACTAAGAAGTGTTCAGTAACAGTGCTGTGGAATGCATACAGAGCTGGAAAGGTAGACTTCACACAATATTTCTAACTACGTGGGGTGTCATTTGCACAAAGTTCTGAAATTTGAATTTTACCTTCTACTTCTGTCTAATTTTGCCGTTTTGGAAAAATATAGCACAAAATAAGGTTGCTTTTCACTAGCTGCTGTGTTTGGCTTCATTGAACAAAGAGTAAAAAAAAAAAAGTTATTTTTTGGCAATGGTCCAGAATAATTACAGTAGAACATAAGCACAAATCTCATAGATACCTCTCTTAAAAACATCTCTATTGACAAAACCTGCTATAGTGTGAGCACCTAATTATCCTAAGAGCATTTAGAAAACTGTCTTCTCTAAATTATGAGGAAATTGAAAGATTGGCTCAAATACAGAGATCATGCAGGCTCATCTAGTCTTGGGACTTTAGCAGTAAAAAATTTTTGTAATTCTGGAAATAATAAATATCAAAGTGGCCTCAGATCAGATGCTTTGTTTGCACTGAGAAAGTAATTTCTTGCCAAAGAATTTCTTGTCAAAGCAATTTTTTGTTCAAATTTGAAATTTTAATGTGCAAGTACTTCTTTAAATTTACATTGTAATTGGGGGAAATGAGGATAAACAGTATAGTCGATATTCTGAATAGCTACAAACTCCTATACAAAGGTACATTCATGGGATACTTCTATATTTTTAGCCTTTCATGTATTTGCAATTTTATTCACATAAAAGTTTTGTAGGCTTTTGACTATATAAAGTTGCTTTCCAACACAGTATTTCTACTTTCTTTAGTCCTGTTTATCCAGTTTTCTGTGTTTATACAGCTTGTGATATAGGTGCAGTTCGTCTTGTCAGTCTTGAGCCTTCTAAAAATTAAATATTGAAGCTAACCTTCCTGTCCAGCCTCCTTCAGTGCTAAGATGGATAAATTGTCTGTATATTTCCACCAACTGTCTAGTCAACCAGCTGAGACCAGATGTGAACCTTTAGATTATTTTAAACTTTGGTGAGATGGTGTTTTGCATTTCGATATACAGGACAGCTGATCCAAATTCACTTTGAAGTTGTTTCTGAAAGGATTAATCACTCTCCAGAGGCATTTCCTCATTTTCTGTTTTCTTTTTTGGTTTGTTTGTTATTGTTGTTTTTTTTCTTCTCCTTCAGTAGTGTCACTGAATTGTGAAAGTACCAAAGATCAGGTGCAAATTTCTTGAGGTGGCTCAAGAAAAATTGTATTGGTGGCTCTAGCACTAAAGAGGGCAGCAGCTCTTCCTGCTTCATGCATGCACGATTGTGTAACCTTCTCTTTTTAGAGAATGTGCCCATATCTATATGTACTCTTTAGCCACCCTGTGCTGTTGTCCTCAAATGCATTACATTGTTCAGAAAACCTGAATAAGAAGACAAAGGCTTTGGTGGAGTAGCAGAAGGTGAAGCTACTCTCCAGGAAATGAACTGCATGCATCTGTTAGGTTAAGCTGCTTCTTTGTGCCTGTTGGCATCTCAGAAAAAGTAGTGAGCGTCTGGCCCTGGAGCATATTTGGATTTCTGAATAAGGAAACTGTCGTTTTTTGTTCTGACTTTTCCTAAGTAAGTAGGATGCGTGTTCTCTGCATATCAGGAGGGTTGTACCAAATTAATATGTCTGTCATATTTCACATTTCCCTTATTGTAAACAACAGGGTGTGGCTCTGAATATTGACTTGGGAAAAGTGGAGAAGTATCATTTTCATGGACACCTGTGCTGCTGTTCTTCCTAAGTAAAGAATGACCCCCTAGACATTTTCAGCTGGATTAGAATTTGGATTCCCTTCTAGTTTAAATGTTTGTCCTTTAACAATCATTAATTATCCACTGTGCCCAAGCCCAAGTCATTTAAACGACATTGATTTTTATTGTCATTAGTGTCAGGGCAAATTACTGTTGATGTCAAAGATTTACAACTGTTCTGTGCACTACATTCTTCTGGTGATTCCTAACATGGCTCAAAAGCAAAAAGAAACTTGAACAGGAATCCAACTTGTTTGTATAAAGTATTACTACTAAATAATCATAGAAGGTTTTAAATCATAGAAGATGAGCATACGCTCATGATGAATACTTGCAGCTTTGAAACTGCACTCCTGTGAGAGCAGAAAATTCACAAATGTAAATTCCTGTAATCAAACTTGTATTACTCCAAATTGCTCAATTAATCTTCTATCTCTCTCTCTTCCCCCCGCCTTTCCTAGGCACATGTGTATGTGGGGAATGCACGTGCCATGATGTGGACCCAACTGGTGACTGGGGAGATATTCATGGAGACACTTGTGAGTGTGATGAAAGAAACTGCAAAGCAGTGTATGATAGATATTCTGATGACTTCTGTTCAGGTAAGGAATATATATAAAAGGAACTTATGTGTAGTTTTATAACAAAAGCATCCAATTGGTCTAATCTTACTCTTCCTTAGGGCTCCAATTCTCATTTTCCTAGCTTAAAATATACCAAGCTTTAGCTGATTTTTTTTTTTTAGAGTGGACTTTTTAAATTAAAAGACATAATTCTGTAAAAAAAATAAAAACATTTCCAGTTCTAAAGCTTTCTTAAAACATCTTTTTTTCTATGCCTTTTAACAAATTCTGTAAATATGAAATACTTTCATGTGCCCATTTCCCTTCTAATACTCTTGTCTTCAGTGTAACCTAACATATACTGGAGAATGGTTGAAACTTTAAAATATATATATTGTTGTGGTTTAACCCCAGCCGGCAACTAAGCACCACACAGCCGCTCACTCCCCCCTGCTAGGATGGGGGAGAGAAACAGAAGGGTAAAAGTGAGAAAATTCATGGGTTGAGATAAAGACAGTTTAATAGGTAAAGCTGTGTGTGCAAACAAAGCAAACCAAGGAATTCATTCACTACTTCCCATCAGCAGGCAGGTGTTCAGCCATCTCCAGGAAAGCAGGGCTCCATCACATGTAACTGTTACTTGGGAAGACAAATGCCATCACACCCAATATCCCCCCCTTCCTCCTTCTTCCTCCAGCTTTATATGCTGAGCATGATGTCATATGGTATGGAATAGCCCTCTGGTCAGTTGGGGTCAGCTGTCCCATCTGTGTCCCCTGCCAGCTTCTTGTGCACCCACAGCCTACTCACTGGTGGGGCGGTGTGAGAAGCAGAAAAGGCCTTGACTCTGTGTCAGCACTGCTCAGCAATAACAAAAACATCCCTGTGTTATCAACACTGTTTTCAGCACAAATCCAATACATAGCCCCATACTAGCTACTATGAAGAAAATTAACTCTATCCCAGCCAAAACCAGCACATATATATATCCTTCCTTGGGGAAATTTAAATTTGAAAATTTTTTAGATCAACTTTTGTTGTTTCATGTTATATGGCAGGGAGAGGACAAGTGAGAGGAAGAAATTTGAGGAAAAGTGAATTGAGTTAATGAAAAACAGTACTCTGAGAATACCAATTGACCTCAGAACAAGTAGAGCATCAACATGTGGAAAATATGAATGTGTGGACCAGCTACACATCCCTGACTGTGCGTCTGAGACACTTTCACCTTCCTTTTTTCTTCTACTTTTACTTCAGAGCATTATATTCAAATTAGTTAACATCCATCCAGCCATCCAAGGTTTGCAGTGTATTTAGATTGATGTTCCATGTATCAACTGACAAAAGCCAAGATTCTGAGTGAGACCTTGCATACAATTTTGTATAGTTATTGATAAAAAGATGCTAATACTGAGCAGGAGAGAAGGACTTTGATCAATACACAGCATGCAGTTTGTACGAACAGGAACTTTGCAAAAACAAATGAGGGTGTTTTCAAAGGGACTTGACCGATTACAGGTTGTCAGCTCTAATGTGTCCTGTAGAAACCTGATCTGGCCTAATTAATAGTAGGAAGAATGCAGTCACATCAAGGAAAATAATGATGTGGTATGTTCTCCTCCTATTACTAGAATGAGAGATCTCTCGTAGAAAGATCATAGGAATTGTCTGTAATAGGGAGAGAAGGCTGAAACAAACGTGGTACATAAAATTCTTAGCCGCCTCTTTGCCTGTTATAAAGGTGAAAGGTTTCTCAGCTGCTGTGTGTGTGTTTGGGTTTTTTTTAATAAATATTGATGAATCACTGGCTAATAAAGCGAGGAAATAAAAAGAAAGAAGCATTTCTAGAAACCTTCAGTGAATTCAGTTGCTTGTTACTGTTTCAGCCACCTACAAATAGGTTTATTTAATTAATAAGCTGGAAGGATGTAGAACTGCAGTCATGAGAGCAACAAGAGGATTCACTTTGGGATGTTGTCAATTTTTGAATGTATTATTGCGTTGCTGAGTATGTTTTTAGCACTCAGGGACTGATCAAAATGTCAGCATCAACTAAGGAATACAAAGCTAAAAAAACGACATGGTAAATGTGTTCTGTAGTTAAAGGTGAACACAAGAGTTTCAAACCTAATTAGATTCAAGCAAACGTGTGGCATCTACAGCTAATGCTGCATCACTGAAATAGGGCTTGAACTCCCTCTTTCCCGGACATTACTGCCATTGCTGCTGCTGCTGCCCAGGGTGGTAATGGTTGTAAGAAAGCGTTGTGTAAGAAAGTATGGGCAGTTACAAAGGAGTTGGGGGGAAGATACTGCCATCTGACATTGGATAAAAGACTGTTACAGTGTTCTTTGTTACATAAACATAACTGGAAATGAGCAAACCTTACGAGAGATACAAAAGGAGGTACTCACATGGCTTGCTTGATGTAACTAAAACTCAGGTTGAACTACAGCTTAGTTTATCTATCTAATCAGCAAAAATTTTAGTACTACTTCTTATTCTTATCCTTCATCTTTCCATTGTGTTTTAGAAAAGCCTAATTTAGCCTTAGCTGGCCATCCAAGTATGCATTCCTCAAATAGATTGTGCAAAACTCTCCATTTTCACATGGAGCAGAGTGAACAATGTCTTACAGTCCTGCTGTTTAGTCCTGTTTCAGAAATGGACAAGATGCATAAGTATTTATTTTGGTTTATTGTGGTAGACAGAATTTGCAATTAAATCAAAGATTTACTAGCAGAATTATAACTGGACAGATTTTTTATTTGTTTATGTGAAATAAATTTACTTAGTGCACAAAGTGTGCATGTGTTAGGTGTGTCTGCAAAATATCCTCATTTTTCTCACAATTATGTGTAAATTGATTTAAGATGAATCCAAGAGGGATTAGTCAGATTAGGGGAAATAATCCAGCTCTCTTAAAATGTACATCAAACAGAGCTGCTACAAAACTTTTGCTGTCTTGTTCTACCTACCTAATAGGTAGAGACAGGAAATCACGTTGTCCTGAGTAGCAGATTGAAATGATAGGAAATCATGTTTACGTGTAACGAGTTTTACTGTAACTGAATGAAAAGCTATGTTTATTTCATAAACTACAAATGACAGGAATTGACAGCCCTGCTGGGAGGATTTAACATCACACAACAGCAGCTCCCTCCAGAAGCTTCATATGGCTTGGGGTGGCTGTCAATTTGCAGTACCTCATATTGGCAACTGGATGCCTTCTCTTAACATCTGAAGTGCTGTTCAGTATGTTACTGAATGATTTTCTTTCAGAGGTGTTCACAACATTAAAGTGATTCTGTTCCTTTAAAGGGAGAACAGATTTCATGACTTGACATAGAAAGAAAAAAGGCTTCCATAAGAAAATTCCTACATTCACACATCTCGTTAGCTCCTTTACTGTGGCTCTAGCAAAGAAAATATTATATAAAAGAACATCATCCCTTCATAAGTATCTATCTGGATCAGAGAACATATGTCCAATTTGCAACCTATCAGCAGGTACACGTGAAAGCAAAGGACAGAATCATAGAATGGTTTGGGTTGGAAGAAACCTTAAAGATCATCTAGTTCCCCCCCCACTGCCATGGGCAGGTCTACCTTCCACTAGATCAGGTTGCTCAAAGCCCCATCCAACCTGGCCTTGAACACTTCCAGGGATGCGGCATCCATAACTTCTCTGGGCAACCTCTTCCAGTGTCTCACCACCTTCACAGTAAAGAATTTCTTCCTAATATCTAATCTAAATCTACCCTTTAAACAAGAGGAAGCGTTTAATGCTTTTCAAGGGAAACAAATAATTAGTGTAAAGGAAAGTTATTCTTGTGAAATTAATAAGACTTGTATTCAGGGAACTACTCTGATAACTCATAGAATGCTTGCTTCCTCCCATTTTCTCTTGTGAATGGATAAATGCATATGTTTTAGAAATATAATACAAGCCAGTCTGAAAATGCAAGTATGGTTAGAAAGAGATATAAAATCTGTGTTGCTATGGTTTTCAAGAAGAACCTGGATAGACAAGTGGGCATCAGAGCAATGCTCTGATGGGTCCTGTGTCCAGTGAATGATGACTATGTGAAAACTGTGAGAGAAGATCTAACCTGCTGTCAGAGCTCATGAAAATAAATTTTGTGGCAAGGAATGTTTTTACTGATGCTCAAGCTTTCCTCATCCAGTGCAGGGAACATTTTGTATTGCCAGAATCCCACTGCTTTATGCAAAGAGCATTAGGCTCATGATGAAGGGAGCTGGGCAATGAGCTTGATTTTTCTTGGTCTGGATATGGTCTGCACTGGTTTGAGACTTGGAATTGGTGTGACATTGCTTGTCTCTAGTGGATCACATTGATTTCAAGTAAATAAAAGATGATATATTACTTAGAGAATATGCTGCAACTGTGGTAGAAACAGAACATAAAGGTAAATGAAATATTGCCTTATGACGGCCCCACTTTTCCAGACAGTGGTGAGATGTGTATTTGTAACCTCTATTCCACCCTTTTGCATGAGGAACATGTGCCAAATGGCAAAACATCCCTTAAGAAAAAAAATTAAAAGGAAATATGGCTCAAATGGAATGATAGACCAGTGCTGTTTTCAGAAAAAAAGTACATATAGTGAATTGATTGTATTTTTTGCCAGTCTGATTATTTAATGAAACCACAACTTTGATAAAGTTCATCTGATCATGAGGTTTTAATACCTTTCATCAATATGGGGGCTAATCTTTAATCATATTCATTGTAAAGGTCATGGACAGTGCAATTGTGGAAGGTGTGACTGTAAAGAAGGATGGACTGGGAAGAAGTGTGAGCATCCACGTTCTTGTCCATTATCAGTTGAGGAAAGTGCTAAGAAATGCCAAGGAAATTCTAATTTACCTTGCTCTGGAAGAGGTAAGCACATTTCTGGAAGAATTTTCATGCCCTTAAAATGTACTTCCATCAAAAGAATTTTACAGATGTCCTGCATTACTAGTACTGAAAAATGTGAACTTTCTTGGCTTACTGTGCATGAATCACACCTGCGTAACCTGTGAGTTATAAGAAGGGAGCAGAAGAGTACAAAGGTCACCTATTTTTCCTGTCATCTACTGCTTTGTATTTTATTTTACATATCTCAACATTTGTTTTGGAGGTTTTCAAGGATGCTTTGAAGATTGCTGCAGTTAAGTCTTTACTGAAGATACATTAAAAATATGAACCTATTCTATGCATTCTTTCACAAAACCAGCATGAGATTTTCAGCCTGTGTAAAATGTTGTGGCACCATTGTGATAAGAGCTGTTCAGATTTACACTGCCTAAGAACCTGCCCTACTGAGTGCAGGACTGACTTCTAAAATGCAGTTGTTCTTCACTGTGGTTTGCTAGTTAGCCACTGGCTTTTCATTTGAAAGCATTTCTTTGTGACACTGTAGCCTTTTAAAAAGTTTTGACTAAAAAAATATACATGCAATTGAAATACACATTGCAAGCAAAAGGAAACTTTTCTCAGAAGGAAGAGGACCTGCTAATTTTCATCTGTCACTGTGTGAAATGTGGTTTTCTGCAGAGGGAAGAGAGAAAAATAAATATGAGACAGACTTTTGCTAGAACTGGTAATTGAAGTTGTTATGAATTCTGCCCACTCAAGTATTTGCTGGGAAAGGTCTAAAGCTACTCTTGAATTATTGCATTTGACCTTAAATGTAATTTCATTTGCAATTTCTTCTTTGACTAATACTATCTAACATAGTCAAAAATTGTAGGCTGTCCACCCAAGTTAGCACTGTGATAATTGTGTTTTTCTCCCCCAGTAAATGTGGAACAGCTCATAACTTAGTAAATGCAGCATTAGCTGTACCTTAAAAGAACTATGTATTAACAGATTGTTCCTTGCTGTTTTCTTAATTAAGCTACAGTTTTCTAGTAAATTACATCTCTCTTTTCTTGCTAAAAATTCTCAAAGGAATTTTTGGCAACAAGTTAGGTGAAACATGGACATCTGTAGAAAATTAACTGCATTTTATTGTTCGTCATTGCAAGAATTATAACTAAAAGAAAGGAGTGTTGGCATTTTATTTATTTATTTATTTATTTTAAATACTGGCTCACTCTTCCTGTTCTCATTGGATGCTGAATGTCTCTTCTCTCATCTGCCTCACTAGATGTGTATGTTGAACACTTGGAGTCAGTTCTATGATTTAATTGCATTGCACACTATGACAGTCAAATGACAGAGAAAAGAATGACAGTCATAAAACCAAGTTTAATCTCAATAAAAATACAGTCTTAAGTTATGAAACATATTGTTCTATTTATATTTTAAAGTTTGAAAAGTTTTATTAAGTATAGTGAGAAGAGTGAGTTTAAAGATTTCAATATTAATGGCAATAATTCTATTCTCTTGACTTTCTGAAAAAAACACCTAAGTATTAATGCTGGCAGTGTTCTCCTGTTGAGATACTAGCAGTGAAATAAGTCCCTTTCAGGTGAATTCATTTGACTGAATGATCTGTTGGTCAAAATTTTCAAATAAAGTACAAGCAGTACCTATTGGAACAAAAGGCTTAATTGATAGCAGCTTTCACTGAATGTCCTTTGACTTCCCAACAAGAAGAGATCACCAAGGTTTGTAAGGCATGCCAATGGCATAGACGTGGATCTAGGACACAGCATGATAGACAGCTGCTGTAATGAAGGAACAAGAGTTTCTGCATTACATGCTTGAAAAAAATTCCCATGAAAACTGTCATTTCAAAATGGAATGTGGTATCTTGTTTTCATTCTATGAACAATTTTGTTTAGGAAATTGGGAGAGAAAAAGAGAAAAGATATTTTAGTCTAATCATCTATAATTTACTGGGTAGTGTATTTTTTTTAGCTTGCACTCCCTGGATTTCCCTTTCTTTCATCATATTTTGGATATAATACAAAAATGTGAGAAAGTTCCTGTACTGATGAAGTGATGTAAGTGTTTAGTTCCAATGAAAAATTGTCATTGGACTTGCACAGTTAAATTCATTTGAAAAACCTACTACTTGTCATTATAGCTTGTCACAGGCAAAAGTGTTACACATGCAAATGAAAAAAAAAAATTTCCAATCAAACACAATCTCTTTCAAGTCTTCTGGGGTGGAAAAGGCCATGGACTTGTAACACCATCCCCAATTTTTCTGAAGTCCGTAGGGAGGATTGTGTGACAAGGAAGGGAAAGTTCAAAAGGAAATGGAAGTATTACCTTTTCCACTTGAACGTTATTATTTTGGTAACCTCCTTGTAATATTTTTCTCCTGGCTATGGTACAAGGACAGTAAGTCCTTATGCAGGTCAGTAATCCACTGCCCTGCTGGAGAAGTTGAGTACTTAAAGTCCTTATTTAATGGGATCTTTTAGTAAGGCAGTTCATGTATGGAATAGGATGCAGAATGGAGAGCCCAGAGATGCAGGTGCATGACTTTATGACTTTACCATATATTATGTTTCCTTGAAGAATGCTTTCTATTCATCTGTACCTTTTGTATCTAGGTTAGTCAACAACAGTTGTGACAGCTAACCTACTCTTTTGCAATCACTTTTATGGTCTTGGATAAAGACATTGAAGGACAAAGCATTTTTAGGATTTTTAATGCTATATAGATAGCCAAAATATGTAGGGAGAAAAAGATAGAACTGTTACAATTCATAGTCTTGTTCTATGGTCTTTGTCTAAATGCTGACATATGCTTGGGTTTTCAGGTGGACGAGTTTGAAACTGCAGTTGTGATACTCGGTTCCCAAGATTAACAAAAATTATATTTCCTAGATGATATTTTCTTGTTGAAATGTTAAGTATGATTTCAAAATGTGATAATCCTTCACTTAAACAGGAGTAAAAAAAATCCATGCTCCCTGAGGAAGCATTGAAGAAATAATCCTTCAAAGCTTTGGATGGCCATTTTTAGTTTTTTGTGCATTTCACAAAACTTTCTGATATGGAAGGTTATAAAACTCCCAATGATTCAGCTTCAATCTTTAAAATCTCCCATAATAATTACAGAAGGTGAACCAGAAAAAAAAAAAAAAAAAAAAAAAAAAAAAAACAAAAAAACCCAAACCAAGCCATTGTGCCTGAGAAATTCCTTATTAAAAAAAAGGTTTGGGATTTGCATATTTTTGTGTCAGAGATTTGGGATGGTGGGGGCTCACATTAAGAAGAAAACATCCTTTGTTTCACTTCACAAAATTTTATAATATTAGCACAAAAATCATGGCAAAATGATACTCTTCAAAAATTTTCAATCAGTCTGAGGAACCAAAAGTTTCCATCTTTGAACTTAATTTTGGTATAGGGTGCTTATTTTATACCTTATACTTCCTTACAGGTAATGATTAATGGAAAAGAAAAGACAATGTTAGCCTAATCTTACTCTTTTTTTTTTTTAATGATTCAATGACCCAATATGTTTGTAACATTAAATTTAAAGTACCGGGTTTTTATATAAATGTAGCCAAATTTTTATTCGTTACCTTTAAGGCAAATTATGTTCCTACATAGGCAGAAATAGAGAAAGCATCAGCAATGCAAACTAAGAGAATTGCTACATGCCACCTAGATTTTGAGAATCCCAGGTTCCCTTAACTATGAGTCATGTAACGTTAGCAAAAGAAAAAACGATATAGGAAAAAAATTAACAGTGAAAGAAAGCTTTTTTTAAGAGACGTGTTTAACATATCAGGGGGACATAAAAGTTGTATTAAAAATTTTAGAGAATTAAAATGAAGTTATGAAGGACATAACCTAATTAGATAATCACTGTCTATAAAATGCTATAGATTACAATTTCTCAATCTGCATTTTGCTCTCCTGAGAGCAGATGAAGCAGTGAACTTTTATTCCAGACTATAATTCCTTTCCTGATTTTCCTCAGTCACTCACAGGAATAATAGGCCATTTAATGGGTGCTGGTCAGCATGCGGGGAGAGCAGAGATGCTGCCAAAAATATATTTCACCATGGTCTTAACGGCTTCAGTAGGTGAAGGAGAGAGAAGGCTTTATATTGACATGCTGAGCACTAAGTGAGAATGTCTACATTCTCAAATGATGTTATAAAGCCGGAGGAAATACAAATCCTCTCAGTTACATCAATCAGGCTGTCTTTACCTTCAGTAGTTCCTGTTGTATATAATGGGAGAGAAGGATCAGATGAAAATTTTGGGAATTCAAATACACTACCGCTAGGTACTTTCCAAAAATTACTTTCCCAGAACAAGGAGAGATTCTAGCCAGCTTCATTCATATAAAGTGAATAATTCTTTCTACACTTTTATTCCTTAGAGTGTTTTTTTCACTTGCTGCATGACTTTTCACTATAGATGTAATACTTTCACAGTGAAAGTCTGTCCCTTTTAAGAACACACTGTACAACAAGACCAGGGTCAGAGATAAAGGAAAAGACACACCAAAAAATCCTTATGGTAAGAAATAAAGAGATAACGTGTTGTTGTCAGGATTAAGGGACAGGACAAACCACTTTTCTCTTTAAAATGCACATCACTCCCTTGAGTTGCCCCTTAGGGCAAAAAGCAGATTTCAAAATAGTTATAATAAAAAAACCTTCAGGAAGAGAACTGAAAATAAAAAAGTAGGCTTTGAGAATAATAGATGAAAGCTTTTTTTAAAATAATCTTGTTCTCATCACTTACCCTTAGTGAAGGCAGCCATCCCATGGCAGTGATCCAAAGACAGATAAATGACAAATCTTCTTATTGGTAGTGTCTTTTACCATTTTAATCTCTTTTCTATAATTGCTTTTATTTATTTGTCATATAGAGAGAATGAAACTGTTTATCTGTGAAATTCCCCCTTACACTTATGCTCTAGCATTGGCTATCTGAAATATGAAGAGTTTTTTTGATTCTGTACTGAAAAAGAT